CAAAATTCTTTAGTTCTTTTTAATATATAAATGAGTACCATTGATGCACTATGCAAATAGACCTTACATAGTATCAAGTGATTTTTAAAATTAAAAACAGGAACTTTACCTTGAAGACAATGAAATTGAAGAAATATCAGAAGTTAGTTTGAATAGGACTACCAATTTGAACGTGATGGTTCTCAGGAATAACAAGCTTGATGAAACCAGGATAGCACCATTCGCTTGGATAAAACTCAAGTGAGTAATTTGATAATAATTAAATATTTGCAACCATTGACTGAAGTCAAAACGTGCATACTATACGTTAACAGTTTCTATTTGTCAAATCTAGAGAACTTAACTGATTATAGTTAATATTCAATTATGAACTTGTAATTCTTTTTAAAACCAAGTAAAATAAGTGACACATTCATCTGAAATAAAATCAATAAATCATATTAATTCTATATAAACGCCAACATACCTTTCTTATTGACACAGTGAAAGATGATTCATCTATGATCAGCACGTGCTAATTTAGTTTTTGATTTGACTAAGTTATAATTTTCTATATTTTGTAGAAGGGTGTAATGTTTCACAAATTGTATTTAATGTCTATAAAAAATTCCTGTTTATCATCTAGGAACCTAGAATATCTGGACCTCTCACACAACAAGATAATTCATGTTCCATCATTACTACCCAAAGGTCTGCTTTATCTTATACTTGTTCATAACCAGATTGAGCAAATTCCAGGCTTTGTGTTTGCTCACATGGAACCAGGATTAGAAATTTTGTACCTATCTTTCAACAAATTAACCAGCAATGGAATTGACCCAGTTTCTTTCTTTGGCACCTACAATACTATGAGAGAACTGTATTTGGATCACAATATGTTGAAAAAAATTCCTACTGGAATTGCTGAAATGAAGGCACTTCACTTTCTGAGACTCAATGATAACTTAATCAGGTAATGGAAAAATGTTCAAGATACTATTGGTAACAAGTCTGTTTTTCTCGGGTAGACTAAAATGTAGATAATGAAAAATATATCTCAGTCAGAAGGTTGCAGTTTAAGTCTTATGCCAGGAACTGACCATGTAATCCAGCAAATACCAAACAGCAGTTGGAAGGGTGGAGCATCAAGCAAGTCACTGAATAGTCAGGCCATTGATGCGGATTTTAAAGATCCTATGGTACTTTTCGAAGAGGAGGTTAATGTTCTGTGTGCTGACAAATAACCCTTCCTCAACCAACATCAACAAAAATGGACTCACTTATTTGTTATTCACATCAGTGCTGCTTTCAGGATCTTACTCTGGCCAAAATGTCTGCCACGTTTGCCTTTACAAGAACGATTATGGCTGTTCAAATTAATTGAGTATTGCGAAAGAGAGAGATTCTTGTGGTCCAAACTTTTGACCTTGCACTTAACACTATAAGACACAAGAGCACAAGCAGGCCATTCAATAAGATCATGATTGATCTGAAAATCCTCAAATCCACTTCCCTGTTTTTGCCCCATTACCCTTGATTCATTTACTGATTAAAAATCTGTTTATACTTGAATATACTTGAGGACCCAGCTTCAACAGGCCACTCAGACTGTGAGGCTACACTTACAGAAGAAATGCCTCTCACCTCCCTGTCTTAAATATGTAACTCTTTATTCTGAGATTATGCCCTCTGATCCTGACTCTCCCACCTTTCTGCATCTATCCTGTTAAGTCCCCTAAGAATCTTTTATGTTCCAGTAAGGTCATCTCTCATTCTTCTGAGTACAAGATCAATTCACTTAACCACTCCTCATAGAACAGTCCCTTCATACTTGGTATCAGCCTGGTGAACCTTCTCTGGACTGCCTCCAATGCCAGTAAATCTTTCCCCAGTTAATTAGCACAAAATTGAGGTTGGTTGGCTTGCTGAGCTGGTTTGTTGTTTTGCAGACGTTTCTTTACCATGATGGGTAACATTCTCAGTGCAGCCTCCGATGAAGCGTCTGTGTGATTTTCCACCTGGTTTTCAAACTCTGGAGTCTGTTGAGCTGGATTGCCTCACTTCGGGTTTTCCTCCGTAGTGGAGTGTATATGGGGTCGAGTTCTATGTGTTTATTAATAGCATACTTCATGGAGTGCCAGGCTTCTAGGAATTCCCGTGCCTGTCTCTGCTTAGCTTGTCCCAGGATTTTGGTGTTGTCCCAGTCGAATTGGTGGTTCTCCTTGTCCATGTCGATTGAGATGAGTGAGTATTGGTCGTGTCTTTTTGTAGCCAGTTGGTGTTCGTGTACCCTTGTTGTTAGTTTCCTTCCTGTTTGTCCGATGTAGTGTTTCTCACAGTCTCTGCAGGGGATCTTGTAGCTGACATTGGTCCTGTCCACGGCGGGGAGTGGGTCTTTAGTTCGGGTGAGCAGTTGTCGTAAGGTTGATGTGGGCTTGTGTGCTACTCTGATGCTCAGTGGTCGTAGGAGTCTTGTGGTTAGTTCCGATGTGCTCCTGATGTAGGGTAGTGTGATGAGTGTGTCAGGGCGTGTAGTATCTTCCTGATGTTGTTCGTGTAGGCATCTTCTGATGCAGTTTTTTGGATATCTATTATCCTTGAAAACCTGGAAGAGGTATTCTTCTTCCTTTTGGCGTAGTTCTGTGTTGCTGCCCGTTCAAATAGTGCTCACATGCAGCTTCGTTTGTGTGTGCTGGGATGGTTACTGTTGAAGTTCAGTACCTGGTCCGTGTGTGTGGCTTTTCTGTGTACTTTCGTTTGGAGTTCCCCATTTGTCTTGCGCTCTACCGTGACGTCCAGGAATGGGAGCTGTTTGTTCTCCTCCTCTCTGGTGAATTTTATCCCGGTGAGGGTGTTGTTTTTAAGTTTGTGTGTCTCCTCTAGTTTGGTCCGTTTAATGATGACAAAGGTGTCATCCACGTAGCGTATCCATAGTTTTGGTTAAATTAGCGGAAGGGCCATCCTTTCTAGTCTTTGCATCACTACCTCTGCTATGAGTCTGGAGACAAACAAACTTATAAACAACACCCTCACCGGGATAAAATTCACCAGAGAGGAGGAAAAGAACAAACAGCTCCCATTCCTGGACGTCACGGTACAGCGCAAGACAAATGGGGAACTTCAAACGAAAGTACACAGAAAAGCCACACACACGGACCAGGTACTGAACTTCAACAGTAACCATCTCCACACACACAAACGAAGCTGCGTGCGAACACTAATGGGCAACAACGCACTGCAGCAACACAGAACTACGCCAAGAGGAAGAAGAATACCTCTTCCAGGTTTTCAAGGATAATGGATATTCAAAAAACTGCGTCAGAAGATGCCTACATGAACAACATCAGGAAGATACTACCCGTCCCGACACACTCATCACACTACCCTACATCAGGAACACATCGGAACTAACCACAAGACTCCTACGACCGCTGGGCATCAGAGTGGCACACAAGCCCACATCAACCCTACGACAACTGCTCACCCGAACTAAAGACCCACTCCCCGCCGTGGACAGGACCAATGTCATCTACAAGATACTCTGCAGAGACTGTGAGAAACACTACATCAGACAAACAGGAAGGAAACTAACAACAAGGATACACGAACACCAACTGGCTACAAAAAGACATGACCAATACTCACTCATCTCAATCGACATGGACAAGGAGAACCACCAATTCGACTGGGACAACACCAAAATCCTGGGACAAGCTAAGCAGAGACAGGCACGGGAATTCCTAGAAGCCTAGCACTCCATGAAGTATGCTATTAATAAACACACAGAACTCGACCCCATATATACTCCACGACGAAGGAAAACCAGAAGTGAGGCAATCCAGCTCAACGGACTCCAGAGTTTAAAAACCAGGTGGGAAAACACACCGACGCTTCATCGGAGGCTGCACTGAGAATGTTACCCAGCACGGTAATGAAACGTCTGCAGAACAACAAACCAGCTCAGCGAGCCAACCAACCTGAACACCCACAACCCGAGCTACAAATCTACTCCAAAACTTTATAGCACAAAATTGTTCACAGTATTCCAGCTGTGATCTGACTACTGCCTAGTACAATTTTAGCAAAAATTCCTTATTTTTATATTTCATTCCCTTTAAAATAAAGGCCAACATTCCATTTGCCTTCCCTATTTCCTGCTGAATTTTGATGCTCGTCTTCTGTGATTCATGGATGATGACTCCCAAGACCCTTTGTTCCATTGCTTTTAGCAGTCTTTCTCAACTTAAATAATATTCTACAACCCTATTTCTTCTGCCAAAATGCATAATCTCACAGTTTCTCACATCATATTCCATCTGCCAAGTTTTTTTATATTTCCTCAGACCCAAAAGTGGTGGCTTTAAGCCCATTCATGAGTAAATATAATACAGTGAACAATGATGTGATTGGGATAGTCATTATCCTACAGGATAGCTTTGATGTGCCCCATTTTGGTCTGAGTTTGCATGGTGAGCTAATGGTTTGGATGCCAATTTACAAGATAACTGGCTCAGCCAGTCTTATAGAGCTGTGGGAATCCAACATGTATACCCGTAAAGGTACGTTTCAGCATGCCTAAAGTAGAGAACTCATTTTCAGATTTCTCAAACAGCACATTGACAAAATGGAGCTCTTTAGTCTGTTCCATTTCAAAGGTGAATATCAGCACGGGTTGTGTTGCAACCAGGTGCTTAAGAAAAATTCCTACATGCATCTGTAGTTTCAATTGTAATAAATATATCATCTATACATTTACCATCCAAAGACTCAAACAGTCTTTCCAGGTGAAGCAGCATTTCACCTATACCTCCTCCAACCTTGTGTATTGTGTTCCCTGCACCCAATGTTGCCTACTCTACATTGGAGAAACCAAACGCAGACTGGGTGACTGCTTTGCAGAACACCTCCGGTCTGTGTACAAGCATGACCCCGACCTTCCCATCGCTGGTCATTTCAACACAGCGTCCTGCTTGCATGCCCACTTTTCTGTCCTCAGCATGCTGCAATGCTCCAGTGAATCACAGCGCAAACTGGAGAAACAACATCTCATCTTCAGACTAGGCACTTTACAGCCTTCTGGACTTAAAAAATTGAACCTTCAAATTTTCAACTCGCATTTGTTCCCTTTCTTTTAGCTTTACTTGTTACATTCTTTGTCACTGTGCCCTCTCTCCCCTCCTCCCACTCTAATGGGACTGTCTTCTCTTTCAAGTCTACAGTTAGACACACCGTTGTTCTGCCATTCTCACACTCCGATCACTTAATCTGGACTATCAACAATCTTTTCTCCACCAGTATTCTACACCCCATCTCTGCCTCTTTCCCTGCTCCCCCCATCAACTATACCATAGCTGTTGTCCCCTCCACACTTCACTTCAGCTCTGATGAAGAGTCATCTAGATTCAAAACGTTAATTTGCTGTCTTTCCATGGATGCTGTCTGACCTGCTGTGATCTCCAACATTTATTGTTTTCAGTATCAAAACATCAGAAATATGCAGGAAGTAGAAGCATCAGGGTAATTCATCAAAGGTAACTTTCTCACGGAAACTGAGAAAAACATCAATGACAACTGGGCCTGGATTGCATTCCTTGCAACATTACAGAAACGTAGAAACACAGAAGAAAGGACAAGGAGGAGGTCATTTGGCCCTTCAAGCCTGCTCTGGCATTCTTCATGACCATGGCTGATTGTCCAACTCAATAGCCTAATCCTGCATTCTCCCCATAACCTTTGATCCCATTTGCCCCAAGTTTCTAGATGCCTCTTGAATACATTCAATGTTTTGGCATCAACTACTTCCTGTGGTAATCAATGCCACAGGCTCACCACTCTGTGGGTGAAGAAATGTCGCCTTATCTCCGTCCTAAATGGTCTACCCCGAATTCTCAGACTGTGACTCCTGGTTCTGGACACACCCACCATTGGGAACATCCTCCCTGCATCTACCCTGTCCAGTGCTGTTAGAATTTTATAAGGGTCTATGAGATCCCCCCCTCATTCGTCTGAACTCTCACGAAAACAATCCCAATATGCATTAGGGCATTTATGGCATCGGGGAAGCTGAACACATCTATGCATGTTGCTAAGTACTTTAACAAATAGATACATAAATTGACAGCATGAAAAAATTGCCATGATGTAGTGATGTGGCATAAATGTCTATAGCTTCCTTCAGAGGCACATTCATGAAAATGCAGTGTTGAACAAGCATATAGACATGGCGCTGCCTCAAAGCAGTCGATATATGTGAAGCTATTTTGGTCACTTTGGAGAAATGTGGTGTTATTGGATTTCAAAACTGCACCTCCACCTCCTTTTTCCCTTCTGTCATGTTAAAGCATCTATGTTAATATATCTTTACAATATATTCCTGCATGTAATAGCAATCAAGATTCAGAAATGTATATGTAGGTATTTTGGATAGGACTTGCCATATATTTGGAACGATCTGTTACGCTTTCTGAAAAGTCAAGCCCAGAATCCCAAACCAACTCACACCTGATCACAAGATAATTTAAATCCAAAAAATGAGCTGCATATTCAAATGTTGATTGAACTAAAGGAGATTTTTAAAATAATACTCTAATACAATTTTTTTTTAAACTAGGAATGTTCCACCGGAATCCATCTGCACAATGAACGATCAAGGTGATTCAAATATTCGAACACTGCATCTTGAAAACAATTACATTAACACACGGAGAATCCCACCAAGTGCCTTTTGTTGTATAGAAAAATACTCAAGTGTGATCTTGACACCACAAAAGGTCAAAAAATAACTATTCTAGGTGCGAAAATCATTTTTATCCATATATGTTTTGAAGCAAAGATTTTGTATGACGTGCGACTTAAATGTTCTTGTTTATCTGTGCTCCTGTCAAAACAAAATAATCAGTCCTTATTTAGCAATAAGAATGTACACTAAACCTACATCTAGTTCATGGTTTTTATGTTAATAAATGCCTATAAATCTATCATTAGCAAAGGACAGGCGGACATATAATAAATCACATTTGTTAGTCATTAAATGTAATAATTTACTGGATGTTATTTGAGAGCTAAAAGATGTTGTTGACTATGCCATGTATGATGACATGAAACTATTCATTCAACAAATATTTAGAAGTTTTATGAACAAGTGGAGTAGAATGCCATTACATTAACCAAGTCAGGAACAAACATGTTTAGAACTGACAATGTGTTCAGTCTAGAAAATCATTCCCTCGATTTGATGTATTGGATATGAATGGGTTAATAAGATAATGGTGGAACACTGTGAGAATCTACTTAAAGATCAAGAATTGATTTTTACATGAAGTAGTGTCGTTGTGCAGTAGAACAACAGCATATATGTCAAACAGAAAAATTAAACAAAGAACGGCAGATTCTGGAAACCTGAAACAAATATTGAAATTGCTGGTGAAGAGTACATTTTATAAAAAAAGGTTGAACATTCATGTAACTGGAATTTATAAAGATGAGAAGTGACAACAGAAAAAATTCTGAGCAGGATTTACAGGTAGACGCTAAGAGGATGTTTACTCCTGTGGGGAATCTAGAATTAAGGGGGACACTTTTAGGATAAAAGGTCTCCCATTTAAAACAAAGATACAGGCAGGGATTTCCATTTTACAGTTAAAGTGTGCAGACAGACATTATTATGAGTGAGATATGCACATAACCACCAATGAGAAAGCCTGTTTGATCCAGTGCCTATCAAGCACTTAAATGGTCACCTGGCAGGCCTTTTGGTACACTACTTCCAGTGACAAAGATGTCCTGCTTGAAGCTGCCAGCCAATCAGAGGCTAGCAGCCACTTTTCGCAGCAGCATCGCTTTGGAGGCTAAGCCTGCTGCCTGCATAGCAACACTGGAGTCCTGGAACAGTGAAAAAGGCAGTGACTTATTCGGGGGAGAATCGACGGGTGAGAATTGTGTGGGACAGATGTTCAGGGGGTCAAAGGCAAGGGAGGAGTTTGGCATTCAGCAATCACTCCTCTACCCCTTACCCCTGCTTCTGATCACCACATTAATAAAATGAAAAACTGCAGTTGCTGGAATCTGGAACAAAAACAGAAATTGCTGGAGAAATTCAGCAGGTCTGGCAGCATTTGTGCAGAGAAAGAAGAGTTAACGTTTTGGGTCCAGGGACCCTTCTTCAGATGAAAATTAAAATTCCCTACCCCTGAACTGAGAGACCCCAGTTCACGTCCCACCTGCTCCAGCAATGTGTAACAACATCTCCAAACAACTTGATTGGAAAATTGATCAACAATGAAAACAAATGTGACTATGGGCCATCCCACACAGAACTTTATTTCTAAGGTAGGAGCAAGGGTCCCTTCAGCAAAAACCAGCTGGATTATTTGCCCTCCGAGCCACTTCTCTGGAGAGGAAAATATTGGTGGAGAATTATTAAAAGGTATTCTTTACATGAGATAGCAGTGGAAGCTGGGCCATTGAATATATTCAAGGCTGAATTAGACATATTTTTGATCTGTGAAGGAGGCAAGGATTGTGAAGGTCAGTGAAGTTGAACCACAGTATTATTTAATGTTAGAATAGGTTTATGGGGTTTAATGGATTTATCCTATTCCTAACTTCTTATGCTTTTACCTACGTCCTGCCTACTTGAATGCCGTGCTGAAAGTTAATGACCTAACTTGGATGATCAAGTTCAGCCTTTACATCTTCTCAAGCCATATCCTACAACTTTCAACATTAGCCATAGCCACTGCTCAAATCCCTGCAGTTCCTCACTCAACCACTAATAGTCTATAAATCAGGACAATACCTAATATTCATATACTTCGCCCCACCTTCACAGCCTCACCAATTCTGCTCGTGGCCACATCTCACAGGTTACATGTATACATACAGTCCACAACACTTATAAGTATTGTCAGAAGTGAAATTGAGTGGCCGATCATCTCGACAAAGGGCTGAATCCAAAGAAAATGGGCTAAGCATAACACAGTTGTCATAAAATGCCTTGAAGTCTCAAATGGGTAACAATAATAAAGGAACATTGGAAAGATGGACTTTTTGAGGATAGAAAGTCTGATGACACATAGGGAAATGACCATTAGGTTGATAAGGATTTAAAAAAAGGAACTGAAAGAACTACGGATGCTGTAAATCATAAACAAATGTAGAAATTGCTGGAAAAGCTCAGCAGGTCTGGCAGCGTCTGTGGAATGAAAACAGAATTAACGTTTTGGGTCGAGTAACCCTTCCTCAGAACTGATGGTAACTAGGAAAATGTCAGTTTATATGCACAAGATAGGGTGTAGGGAGGGGTAAGGTGTAAACGATAGGTGGGGATACAGCCCAAAGGGAGAGAAGAGTAGTTAGACAAAGGAGTGAATAACGATCTGACCATGAGGGTGAATAGCTGTGAATGTGCACTGTTAGTGGCTAACAATGGGTGGTGTGTAATAGCAGACTATGTGATAATAAAGCCTGGTTGTAGGGATTGGGGTAAGGACATGGGAGAGCTCAAGCCCTAAAGTTTTGAACTCGATATTAAGACTGGAAGGTTGCAAGATCCCCAGGCGGAAAATGAGGTACTGTTCAGGCAGAACATAAAGTAGTTAACCACAACATTTGAATGTACTTCAGGAAATAGTTACTTTCATACTCAACTACTCAACAACAACAAAGAAAACACGGATTGAGACAGAGAAAACTGAATAACTCTGATGTAACTTATTGAGAATTATGGAATTTGTCATATAAGAAAAAGGACAGGGAGATAGTGATAAAATGGAGAGAGGAGGAACAGCAAAAACAGCTGAATAAGAAATAAATTCAGAAGTTAAAAGTACAGGTGGAAGCCTACATTTAGAGCAAAGATAATGATGAAGAACAGCCTAATAGTGACGATGAAGATGAGGACCTCTTCTGTGAACAATCTAAAGATTGTATAATCCTATTTGATCCTGAGATACTCATAAAGTTCATGCAACAATATGGGGGCAATGAGTTACACACTGTTATGATTCCAGAACAGACTGCCAAAATTATGTTACAATCTCATTACATACCCATAACTTTTAATTTAAACAAGGTGAGATCCAGGGGCCTTGTTAGGAAAATAAAGCCAGAAGATTCTACTTCCGCCATCTGCAATCCGACCCCACCACCAAAGACATTTTTTTCCTCCCCACCTTTATCTGCTTTCCGGAGGGACCACTCTCTCTGTGACTCCCTTGTCCGCTCCAGACTCCCCTCCAGCCCCACCTCACCCAGCACTTTTCCCTGCAACCACAGGAAGTGCTACACCTGCCCCTACACCACCCCCCTCACCCCCATCCCAGGTCCCAAGAAGACTTTCCACATCAAGCAGATGTTCATCTGCACATCTGCTAATGTGGTATACTGTATCCGCTGTTCCCGTTGTGGCCTCCTCTACATCGGGGAAACCAAGCGGAGGCTTGGGGACCGCTTTGCAGAACACCCGCGCTCGGTTCGCACTAAACAACTGCACCTCCCAGTCGCAAACCATTTCAACTCCCCCTCCCATTCTGCAGACGACATGTCCATCCTGGGCCTCCTGCAGTGCCACAACGATGCTACCCAAAGGTTGCAGGAACAGCAACTCATATTCCGCTTGGGAACCCTGCAGCCTAATGGTATCAATGTGGATTTCATAACCTTCAAAATCTCCCCTCTCCCGACCGCATCCCAAAACCAGCCCAGCTCATCCCCGCCTACCTAACCTGTCCTTCCTCCCACCTATCCCCTCCTCCCACCTCAAGCCCCACCCCCATCTCCTACCTACTAACCTAATCCCGCCCCCTTGACCTGTCCGTCCTCCCTGGACTGACCTATCCCCTCCCTACCTTCCCACCTACACTCACCTTTACTGGCTCCATCCCTGCCTCTTTGACCTGTCTGTCTCCTCTCCACCTATCTTCTCCTCTATCCATCTTCTATCCACCTCCCCCTCTCTCCCTATTTAATTCAGAACCCCCTTCCCCTCCCCCATTTCTGAAGAAAGGTCTAGGCCCGAAACGTCAGCCTTCCTGCTCCTCTGATGCTGCCTGGCCTGCTGTGTTCATCCAGCTCTACACCTTGTTATCTCAGATTCTCCAGCATCTGCAGTTCCTACTATCTCTGAAAAGATTCTACTTCATGTTTACTACGCATTAGAACCGCAATACAATCTACAATGCATGTGCAATCTATCTCTAACATCCTGAATTAACATGTAAATATGAGTTAACTACTGTAATTAAACACTACATATCAAACAGAAACTGCGATCAAGGCAGATCCCACAGATATCTCAGCGATTCCCTCCGATATTAATGATATGGTGAGTCATTCAATTTCATTACACTTCACAAGGATTACAATTCTTCATTTTTGCTGATTTTCCCTTGAAGCTTCCTTTCAGGTGCCATTTTGTCATGAACTTTCTAAATGACTGCACCCATTGTGATTGAGCACCCTCCTTTCCTGGGTCTACGTTCTCCTGGACTCACTCACAAGTAGAACCACAGCTCTTCTTGGACAGCTAGCCCTGATTCTGTGGTTTTTCCCTGAGCTTCAATCTTTTTCAATTGCATCAAACAAATATTCCTTGAGATTTTTTTAAACTCATCCTCTCAGCTGCACTGAAGTAATAATGATCACAGAGTTCTTCCAAATCTCTCACAGCTTCCCCAGCACATAGCCAGTAACGTTCCCACCTTTTCAGGCACCCCAGGGATCACTTCTGAGCCTCGACTCCATGTGAACGTATGAAATAGGAGAACAGGTAGACCATGATGTTCCCTGAGCCTGTTCCACCATTCAACAATACTTCACTCCAATACTTGGTTGCCTACTAAATCCTAGAATCTCTCCTCAAGTTTGAATAGCATAGAGCTATTCAACTGCTTGACACCTTAATGAGTCCCCTACACAGAATCTGGGAAGTTCAGCTGCCTTCCAAGCAATACAGCTAACTACAACACTCCTGACAATGAACGTACACTTCTCTCTCCTTCTCACATACACACTGACTTCCTCTAACCTCTGAACTCCTCTTAATGACACCCAAATTATCCTGAGTGACTTACTGAAAATCTTGCAATGAACCTTCCCTTATTGCTGTGCAGAATTGAAATTTACGAACACTTTGAAACAGTCAATTGTAGCACCCTTGGAAATGAGTGTAGACTGAAGTTGTACATTCTCACAGAATGCCGGAAATAGATGACATAATTGAAAAGCTTTTTCAAACAACTGTCACAGGCATGATGGGTTGAATAATTTATTTCTGTGATGCATAATTCTATGATTCTGTGACAGTTCGCTCTAGTCAAACTGTACCTTAACATGAGTCAGCACCCTTATGAAAGAGGGAAGAAAACTAGAGGGAAAAAATGGAGCACCCAATGCTCCAATTGAAACCAGTGACCCGAGAATAAGTAGTGATTGGTGAGTGAAAAAAAAACGCCAGTAATTCGTGAAAAGCCAAGAATTGTCCCTGCACAATTTTCTAATATGAATTCTTATATAAATTCTTGATACAAATAAAGTTCTAGGTCAAGAGCATTGAAATAAGATGCCAAAAGCTTCATGTACGTTAAACTAATATGTGAAAAGTAATCAATATGCCTAAAACAATTGTATGTGAATCATGCTTTGCAGTAACTTTGAAATCATAATCATTTTTAATTTACTGCATTTTGGCACATATATGCAGTATTAATGATAATAAATCCCAAATAGAAGAAAGAGAGTAGGGATCAATGCGAATTTTTCAGGATGGAAAGGTGTAATTAGATGGCACAAGGGTCAGTCTTAGGGCCTCAATTAGTTACTATCAATATTAATGACATGGAGGAGGGGGCAGTGTGTAATGCATCCAATTTGCTAACTAAACAAAAATAAGTGGGAAGGCATGCTGTGATGAGGACATAAGACAATAAGAGGCAGGAGCAGAAGTTAAGTCATTTGGCCCACTGAGTCTGCTCGGCCATTTAAATCATGGCTGATATGTTTCTAACCCCACTCTCCAGTGTTCTCCCCATAACCCTTGATCCTCTTACCATTCAAGAACCTACTTGTCTTTGTCTTAAATACATTCAATGACTTGGCTTCTACAGCATTCTTGAGCTTAAAGTTTTGGCAAAGATCTGCAGCTTGGGTTGTGGGTGAGGTTGTTGACTTGCTCGCTGAGCTGGCTTGTTCTTGTTCAGACGTTTTGTCACCATGCTAGGTGACATCATCAGTGGAGCCTCCGATGAAGCGATGTTATCCTACTCTGCTTGGAATTTATACTGTGTGGTCTGTTATCGTGAGTAGTGTCATTTCCGGTTTTGATCTGTATGGTTTGTATATGGGATCCAAAACTATATGTGTGTTGATTGCATTATGGGTGGAGAACCATGCCTCCAGGAATCCCCGTGCGTGTCTATGTTTGGCTTGGGCTCCTATGGTTACCTTGTCCCCATTAAACTGGTGGCCTTCATTGTCTGAGTGTACTGATATTAAAGAGAGTTCGTCATACCATTTTGCTGCTAGTTGATGTTCATGTATTCTGATGGCTCGTTTCCTTCCCGTATGTCCAGTGTAATGTTTGTGGCAGTCATTGCATGGTATCTTGTAAACCAAGTTGGTTCTGCATGTTGTGGGAATGGGGTCTTCAATCACTCACAAGGATTAAAGACCCCATTCCCACAACTTCCAGAACCAACGTGGCAATATTGGCATATCCTTCCTTAGATAAGGGGCCCAAAACTGCTCAAATATTCCTGTAAGGGAGTATAGACAGGTCGAGTGAGTGGGCAAAAACTTGTCAGATGGAGTTTTATGTAGGAAAGTGCAAGGTATTTTGGTACTGTAGTGATTGTAACAAGGTCAGACAGCTGGACCTCAGAATGAGTTCTCTGATTGGGACGGTTAATCTGGTCCAATCAGGGAGTCCCAGCTTACATAAAAAGGTTGAGTTGTCAGAAGTATGGACACTCTGTACTTGACTCTGTACGAGGCAGTATTATAGTCAAGGATTGTTCATGTTTAAACAAGGGATGATTTGGTGATGTGATACTGGCTTCTGTAGAGTTATTTCAGTGGCAATGAGAGTAAAGCACAATTCTGAAGAAATTCACTCACAATCGTGGTCTTTGAGTTGGGGTAAGCATTTCTTCTATCATGTGCTTGTTTGGGGAGTTTAACTCATTCGACCCTGCCGTCGAGCACTGGGTCGAGTATGTGGAAAGATTGAGTTATTTTTTCCAGGCAAATGACATTGGTGCAGATGAAAAACAACGAGTAATTCTCCTGGCAGCATGTGAAGCTGCAGCTTTTTCTCTCCTTAAGAGCCTAACTTTCCCTGAGGCACCAGATACTAAAGCCTGATGTATATAGTTAAAGTATATTATGATCCCAAGACTCTTTTAATTCTGAGACACTTCACTTTCACATGGCAGTTCGAGAACCAGGGGAATCCATATGAGGGTTTCTGACTAGGTTATGATGACTGGCAGAAGCCTGTAAATTTGGTTTAATCCTTAATGAGATGCTTAAAGACTGTCTGGTATGCAGGTTTAATGATGTAACAATGCAAAAATGCCTGCTAGCTGAAGCCCGACTGAACTTCAAACAGGCCTTACAATTGGCTTATCATTGGAAAATGCAGCAAGTGGAGCACACGGGTTGCAAAGTATTCTGATCGAAGTGGACACCTTTGCCAGTTCGACTGAGCTTGAATGCAGGCAATTGCAAAGCCTCATTCAGGACATATCCTGATCAGAGGGACTCAAGGTCAGCCCACAGCAAAACCTCAAACAAGCCAAGCCTCAGCCAAACAGTTAAAGTTTTCTCCAGGATTCTGGCCGGCAAGCCATTATAGTTGTTGCTAGTATGTGGACTTGAAACAGCAAAAGAGTCCTATTAGACCTAAATTAGGTGACATATCTCATAGGTCGACATCCAGAAGGGTTCATTCCCTGGAAAGTTCACCTATGTCTGGTTTGGAACAGTTAAATTGCTCAGCAACATCAAAATCAGAACCAATCAAGATAAACTTCTGGTTAAACGGTCATCTGGTTCTAAAGGAGGTTGATACTGACGCGGCCATATGAGTGGTCGCAGAACCAGTTTTTAATAAAGTTCACACTGGACTCTAGGGAACCATTACAGGTTTAGGGTACAATGTCTGTTCTGGTCTCTTATGAAAAGCAGCTGGTTCAGTTACCAGTGATTGTAGTAAAAGGCTCAGGCCCAAGTTTAATGGGGTAAAATTGGTTGCAGAGATCCACCTCGATTGGCTCAAAATTTTTCAGTTAGAACATGGCTGCCTGAGTGAAGTCCTAATTAAATACCCGAAAGTCTTCCAGGAGGGTCGAGGCACTATCAAAGCAGCCAACCTTGCATATTGACTAGGAAGCCATTCCATGATTCTTTAAGGCCCATCCAGTGCCATTTGCCTTCCTGGTAAAAGTCAAGGCAGTGATAAGAAGTCTGGAAAGTGAAGGAATCATCAAGCCAGTCCAATTTGCAGAAGGGGCAGCGCCAGTTGTACTGATTTTGAAGCCCGATGGGTCAGATAGCCTTTGTGGGGGTTTTAAACAAATGGTAAACCTCAGATAAAAGATTTATACTCAAAGCTGGTAGGGGAACTGTCCTTCACAAAGTTGGACATTAGCCACGCTTACTTGAAACTGCGTTTAGATCAGGATTCCCAGAAGGGCTTCTGCAAGACTGCCATTTGGGTATCATCAGCCTGTTCAAATTTTCAGCACCCGATGGAGAATATTTTGCAAGGTCTACATCATGTTGCCATTTACCTAGGTGACATCCTGATAGGGTCAGGGTAATCAAAGGTGTCCTGGCCCCCATGTGTCTGTCCAGGAGCTTAGGTCATTTTCCTGAACTGGTAAATTATTATGGCAAGTTCATGTACAACCTGGTATCTTTGTACCGGCTTTGAATGGATGAATTTTTGATGGTTTGGCAGACTGTTAGGCGCACAGCCAGGTTTTTTAAATTCATGGGAGTGTACGTGTTTAATGGGTGGCCCTTCTGTTACTGCCAGCTTCCGATCCTACCAAAGTTGAAATGATCTCCCAATAAGTCCATATCATATGTTTATTTATATTATATTAATGTCTGTAAGAAATTATTATAAATTAATAATATATTGGCTCATTTCTCCTATTTCTGCAGAACCTTTGATGTGACACAAGTGGGAAATCTGATTGTGCTGTTGTAGAGCGACTGCAAGACTTCTTAATTATGTGTTTCAAAAGCATCTTTGCATCTAGTGAGACCCCAGAGACAACTGCCATACGTCCACTTAACCTGCCTACATGTGCCAGAACCAGAATGGCAGCCATCTGAATCTTTGTTTCCTTCAAGAACAAACAATTCTTGGCCAAAAGTGTTTTTTCTCAATGTGAACCTCTGCCTTATATGTGCATTTTTGTCTATGTGATTTGATTTATATGAGACATTTATATTTCCTTACTAAAAGTTGTTTGCATCAACCAGCATTGTATCTTCATTGAATAAGTTCTACTTTTTGTAAACCAATAATTTTGCGCTATTTCGGAAACACAGTTAATGGATCTTGTTAGTCTATATTATAAAGTATACGACTAGCCATATTGGGAACTCGGTAAAATAATTAAATTTATGTTGCGATCCATGGAATTGCGAAACTAAAGAAAGACAGTGCACTTCTCCCCTCTCTGTTGTAAAGCTCCAACAGTTTCAAAAGATTATCTGAATTATTATGATGACAATTTCAACAAGTGTTTATTTTTCTTTAATACTAGATAAAAGTTTGTTATCAATTTTCTAAAATGCAATTTATTTTGTCTCAGCTTGATTGAGAGACAACAGATTTTTTAGACAAACAGGGAAATCACTAAGTTTAACAGTAATAATGATCTTCTTGTGGTGACAAGTTCAACAACATTACTAAAATTTACATCGGTTTGATGTCATGCTCTGTTGGTGTTCCATTTTGTAATTTTCCGCTTCCATGTTTTTTCAGGAATCAATCTGTAATTTGGATGCAGATGAGTAAAAAATATTACATTTTTCTGTTTGAATATATCAAAACAATATGCAGCTTAAAAATGGCTGTTCAATTTACATTGTGTCCATCATACTTAGCAAGAAGAGATAATAGGAACTGCAGATGCTGGAGAATC